TTAGTATTCAAACAACACCAACACTTGTCCTCAAAGCACCGATCAATTCAGACATTAATAAAAACAGCCAAATACATGAGTCCTATCACATCTCTTAATTTTCCTCAAATTGCAATTCATGACACATCTCTTAGTCACCATCGTTGGTACCGATCATCAAAACATAATCCTTATTTGGCAACCCGTGCCTCACATCCCACCAATCAAGGTCATTCTCAAAACAAACACTACCAAAAACCAAAGACTAAACAATCCTCCTATGGAGGTAAGTCGACCACTTCAGTCAGAACCTCAATTGATGACCCCCAATGAAGCAACACCTGCTCACCAATCCATCTACCCACAACCGCGCACAACTCCTAGTCAGAGACAAGACTCATAACAACTATCGTCCTAGTCAGGACTAAAACAAACGAAAGGAGCTAGTGAGCCTCGAGTTCACAAGAGACTAATGACCCGCACCTGAACGCAACTGACACCCTATCACATGCTACTCATCAATCGTCTAGTTATAGACACCTAATCCCACCCGAGATGAAAAGAACTCCTTACGTACAAGGGAAAGAACTAACTGAAAACACATAAGAGATTGCGAATACAACCTAGGCGACCTCGCCACTAATAGTCTATAAACACACACACGAAGCCTCACATACGACACATCGCAATACTTATACCAACCAAAACCGACTGACAAGAGTACTCACTTTCACGATACACTAACGTTAGAAACAATCACAGCCTTTTGAACGTCAAGCCCCATTCTACTCAGATTCAATCATTCCCAAATGACAACCTTAAGGTTTTAAAATAAGATCTTACTACCTATTCCACCTTCTCCCTTCAAAACGACATTACCTCAAACATCGTGCACACAAGACCCCTGTCCACAGTCATAACAATCCACTGACTCCTCAAAAGAAAGGTGCCTATCCGGTAGCACCACTCCCATTGGTTCTAAAAACTCAATTATCTACAATCACCTCAACTAGTGCACAATTCCATCACCTACCTATCAACACACAACAACAGTTTATAATCTCTCCAATCCATCCGCGGATCATACCTTAAACTATACTGCTTATCCGCACTAAACATCATACCATAACACCATAACACCTCTACTGTCACGCCTTCCATCAACAGTTCAAACCTCTTATCCCATCGGATCATCTAATCACTATTAATGACTTTTCCTCAAACATCCTTAAAACAAATCATCGCAACAAAAGAACAAACATTACTTTCGATACTCCCCATAACGATCGCTATACATCACTAGAAAAGAATCTCCATACGGCAATATCATGCCAACAAATTCTCAAACAAAATGAGCACAAGATCCAGAATGCTCAACACCCACTTGTCTCCTTAGAATCATCAACAATACAATCATTCACAACGCTTAACCGACTACCTAATCCATTCCTTTTAAAGTAGTCGACATGCCTAATCAAGAAAATTTCGTGTCCTAAGTTCAACATCAATGCCACTACCATCACCATCTCCATTACTCGTTAATCCGAACACTCACTAAAAGAAAATACCAATGAAATACTATAAACAATTATAATTACATACCTTCGTCCACAGGAGGTCCCTCTGGTGACTCTCCAAGTTGAACACCAATCTGTGATACTGAAGGTTGAATCAGTTCTTGCCCTGAATTTACCCCGCCAACTGGAATTCCACTTATTTTGGGACAATCCTTCTTCCTATGATCAGACTGGCCACACACAAAATAGACTCCAGAACTGGGCCGATCCCAAGGGCACTTTACTCTCAAATGACCTATCTGCTTACACTTATAACAAGCCTTTTTGACCTTACGGGATGTCTCCAGCGGTGAAGCGAAAGTAGCTGGAGAATGAGGAGAATCACCCTTTAGCATTTTTCGTACATGACTCTTGGATAACATCTCCACCTCTTTAACCCGATTCCACAAGTCTCCATCTCCTGATCCGTCTCTAATCCCTGTCATCCCTGACTGTGTCACCGACCTCTGAGCTTCTATAACTACTGCACGCACAAAGTTTGTCATAGCCTCAACCAAATTCTTAATCAAAAGATCCCAATCAACAAGCTCATCCTGTTCCTCACCATCATCTGTTTCTCTACGTCTCTTTGGAGGCATGATTCTAAAACAGAAAGAAAAAGGATCAAACACAACATAATCATACAACCCTGACTCAAAGCTTTAAACACTCAAAGATAATAAGGGCATTTAGCTATGAATTAAGAACCCCGTTTTACGGTCGTGCTCTAAGCACCGCACAAAACACGATAAGAAGATTAAAATAATTGCACCTAAAATAACTCCTTCCACGAGCTAAAACCTACGCTATTAGTTTGACAAGAACCAACACCCAAACAACCCTGGAGCAACCGAGCTCCTCACCTTCTAAAGTCAAGACTCACTCGTCCCTCGATGCCATGGCAAATACCCCAACATGCTAACAATCACTCTAATGCTTAACCGTATAGCTACATAGGGAAATGGACACATACACGGATGCAAAATAAATGAATCCATGATACTATACGAAATGCCTTTGCATAGGCTCGTTGCTTGTCATACTGACACCAAAATCAGAACTGCACACACTGTGCCTACTACTCCTCGTTATCATAATCCTCATACAATCATTATACTTTTCTTTTCTTTCACCTTTCATTTACGCGGTTAGATTATCTATTATTCCTTATACATGATCATGCAACATAAATCTCAGCATTTAAACACATCAGCATATAGTAATTAAGCATATTCTCAAACTGTAAACATGTAAGCATGTATTTCACGTAAACAAGAAAACATTTAAGCAAATAAACAAGTAGGCATGCCTCTTAAAATGGTAAACACATAAACACAAGTGCACATTCATCACAAGTCAACTTTCTACTCCGTCTAGGTAAGCCACCACCCGTCGTCCTAAGGTTTTTCGAACCATGGCTCTCATATCATTTCTATAACGACCCTTAACTGATACCATTTTTTTTTTTTTTTTTTAAAATTCGGCATAACCTCCCCGAAATATGGACCTACCGCAACCTGTTTAAATGCATTCTTAACATGTCATGCAACTGATTTCTGAATTCACGGCAACAGTATATGATCATACATAGTCAAATAACACCGATAATTACTTTAACTAAAATTATCATTCCCATTCATCAACAAGGTTACATGCTATCAAATTCCCATCCAAAATACCATCAAATACCTTAGTTACATTACATGACAAAGTTTTGCAAAATATATATATATATATATATATATATATATATATATATATATATATACTTTTAGTGCTTTGCAAAAATAATGGGGAATATACAAAAGACACAAAAGTGAGCTTCTAGTATCGCTCAAGCTTGAGGTGGGTTGTCGTCCACCAGTTCTTTTCCAAGACCTGAAAAAAAAAATTGTATAAATAGTAGGGTGAGCTATATGCTCAGTAGGTGACACTTAAGACACAAATCTTGTGTCTTTGTGAATTCAAGCAAAGAATAGGCCAATGGGAAATAGGGATCATTCAACGTAGGGGATCTTATACAACACACAAGTTATTTCCCAATATAATCAATGCAATGCAATGAATGCAAATGCATGCCAATGTCACTCCCCATTTTCATTCTCGAAACTATCACTTTCAAATGTTAATGTAACCCCCTTTGGTAACTCCGCCGCGACGAGAGAAGGATTGGCTACCGTCCCTAGGCCTTTGGTGACTCCGCAGCGCCGTCGAGGGGCCCGAATAGCTCAACCACGCTAGGGTACTCTCCTTAGTTCCCTCTAGGTTACATTAACCTACCGGCCCGTTGGTAACTCCGCAGCGACCGGGTTTATCAAAACCATTTCACAAAAACCATCATCTCCCAAAATTCCCCATTTCATTCCATTGACAAATTCACCCCTTTTTATGCATCCTAATGACATGAGCATGCATGTATGTATATGTGACATGCCTTCAATATTATAACATACAAAATTTTACTCCATAACTTAAACATATAACATGTCAACATATTCGAATGGAGTAACAACACAATTAAGCACAACATAATACATCTAGGCATATATCATGTTCATCATCTTCAGTTAAATCAACAACACATTTAACATCACAAAGCTACAATCTAGACATACTTTTTACATGGAACCAATCAAAATGAAAGTCATGAAATTCTCTAGACCACATTTAAGAAATCATCAACACAAAAAAAATCTCAAGTAGATAATGTTAGCACATAAGAGATACATAATTCACAATGGGACAAGAAGTAGATGGATTAAGATGCCCCTACCCCGAAATCAAGCGAAATCCCTAGAAATGGGTTTCAAATTTGCACTCCAATAGGTGCCCAAAGTTGGAAATTGATGGCATGGATGTATAGAGCTTGACACGAGCTTCGTTTTACCTCAAACGGCCCCTCAATCCGATAAGCGATGAGTGAGAAATCAAAATCCAAAGTTTGGTTCACAGGTGAAAAGAAAAAGAAGAGAGAAAATGAGAGAGCAGAAGGGCTCACGGGAAAGAGAGGGTGAGAGAGAGAAATGGGTTTCTCACCCATTTTGTGGGTGGGTGGTGGGGCCTACTTACTTTAATTTTCTTTTCTTCTTTTCTTTTTGCTTAATTTACACCTCATACACATAAAATACTCCTCTAAATAAATACTACATCATCACACAAATTAAATTCCACAATATAAAATTGGACCCAACAACAATTCCGGACGATAAGTGAAAAGACGAAAATGCCCTTGCGGCGAAAAAAATTCCCAGAAAAAATGAAAAATGCTAACACAGTATTGTTGAACTTTATGAAATATTTGACAAAATTCATAAATTTAGTGCTTCACTACATACATTAACTGCAATTAGTGCTTGATGATTATGAATGTATATAATAATATAAGTTATAATATGCAATATAATTACATGCGTGCCTTGCGCTTAGGCTCCAAAAGGCCTTTGGCGCCTTAAGCCTTTAACAACTATGACAGATGCTAAAGTAGGGAAGGTGAAAAGAAGAACAGTGAACTTTGTTACCAGAACTAGGAAAAAGATACACAAGGAAATCCAAAGTGTATCATCATGATTAGCAAGCAACACAACATTTGGGGTTACATTTGTTTAAACCTATTAGGATAATCCTTACTTGCGGGAAAGAATGACATTCACGGCAATGACGGCATCATATAAACACTCATGTTTCTATTTTTTCCCCAACGAGTTCTGGTGGCATTTGTGAGAAAAGAAGTGAAGCCTGTAAAAGAAAAGGCATTGCCAAAAACAGTGGTGGAATCAACAACCTGCAGTAAAGGATTTAATTGCTGATGTGTGGAAAGTCCAGATTTCTGGGGATCCAATTAAGAAGCTTATCTATAAGTTAAAGCTGGTGAAGCAGGTAGTGAAGAAGTGGAATAAAGATAAATTTGGTTCTGTATTCGAACAGGTTATTGGATGCAGGAATTCTCTCGCAGATACACAGAAATTGTTGTACACTGATCCATTAAATGAAGATTTTATCAAGCAAGAGGAGGAAGGAAGGTGGAAGTTGGAGGCAACTATTTCTAATGAAGCTGTGGCGCTTGCTCAAAAATCTAGAGTTAGATGGCTGAAGGATCAAGATAGGTATTCTAAGTACTTTGTTCAGAAAATCAAGCAACATAGAAATAATAATAATGTCACAGTTTTACATGATGAGGGTGAGGTGATTACGGATACAACTAGGATTAAGGACAAGTTTGTTGAGTATTATAAGTCTGCTTATGCCAATGCTCAACTTGTTTCTTGTGAGCCTGAAGCTAAATACATCAGAAATTCTTTAGTTGCTGAGGAAGTGAATAGATTAGAAGATACTGTTTCAAGGGAGGAAGTGCAAAGCATTGTTTTCTCTATGGGTCCTGATCGAGCTCCTTGTCCTGATGGTTTCGGTGCCAGATTTCTTCAACAATTTTGGAGCATTGTGGGTGATCAATTCTCAGATGCTATCATTCATTTCTTTGATCATATTGAGACGTTATCAAGGTGAATTGCAGATATATAATTGGTAATGGGCAGAATATTAAATTGTTTTTGGACCCTTGGTGTGAAGGTAAGTGCTTAGGTGAGCTATTTAATCATAGAATGTTGAGCTCTTTGAGTAGAAATAAGCAATGTACATTAAATGATTTCATTATAGAGGGTCAGTGGGATGATGAGCTGCTGATGAATATAACTCAAGAACTGATACAGGTTTTTCATTCTTAAAGAATTGCTGGGGGAGAAAATAAACTCAAATGGATGTCTAATTTCAGCTTTAAAGCTGCTTGGGAGGCATGCAGAAGTCCAAATCAAGCGTTCAGGTGAAGGTGTCAACAATGGTGGCGGTGGTGGAAGGCAATGAAGGTGGTATTATAAAGCAATATTTTGCTGATACTGCCCTCAAATTAAGATTCAGTTTAGAAGCATTCAGGGAAAGGTTAATATATATGTAAAAACAAGTATAACATGACCAAGAAAAGTACATAAGAGTAAAGAAGACTAATGGCTGAATGGGTAACCTTCTTTCCTCGTCCAATACAATCACAAAAAACTAAGTGCCAAAGAAAATATAGGCCTCTAAAAGAAGCATCAAGTGATTCAAGTGTGATAATTTTATATTTTGACAAGCAAATTATTAGAACTTTTTTATATCTGTTTCCGACTTTAGGCAAAAACAATGAGACCAAGCACCTTACAATCAAGGCTACACCTGAATTTCAATCAGGTTGCTTGGTTGATGAACAAGGGGAAACGTCTTTCAATGCCTGACGTTCTTCCTTCCCTCTCTCCTTACTGGGCTAGGGTGGGTAACATTGTTGATATTGGTGATTTTACCAATTGGCCTGAGCTAGGCCCTTTACTTATAGAAAGCTTCCCTGCTTCTAAAGAATTATATAATAGGGTGAATTACCCTGACCTCCACCGAGGTTTGTCCGAATTACCCACAAATGACACTATTTCAAATTTTCAATATTCACAGTGACACCCCTGTCAGAGAATCCCGTTAGTTCACTTAACAGCAGTAGTGAAAGTACAATTCTACCCTCACTGAAAAACTTCTGAAGTGCATGTTGTGGCTGATGTCATCAAAAGAGAGCCAAATTAACTTTCTGCCCTCCCAAAGCTAATGTATTCTCTCTGTGTATTACGTGTTTGCTCTACTGCTACTACTACCTGTATATCAACACATCTCAAAGGGCAATTCAAATTCCTCCTCTACCATCAAAGCCACCAAAATGCTTGATCAACTTATACACTGTAGATAGTTGTTTTTTGATGCTGAATATGCCATTGTTGAAAGATGTTCAGAGATAGTTGAAATCTTATCAATTGGAAATATGATTTTGGTAATTAAGAAAGGGATTTTTTTTTTTTTTTTTTTTTTTTTTTTTTCAGTTGGGCATTTTATTGGGTAGTTTGTCAAGATTTGGTTAGTTTTCAATTGATTTCATGTGATGAAGGCTCTTCAACAATCAAAGTGTATAAATTAGAGAGGGAAAGAGGAGAAAACCAGAGAGTCATAGAGAGGATAGGTGAGACTTTCTGCAAATCAGAGAGGAGAAAACCCGAGTACGTTGTGTTAATATAAACCAGGGTAGTCTTGTCCAGATAAAATTAGTTGAAATGGTCATTTGTTATACTAATAAGGTCATTTAAGTCATTATACCTCACTTAAGGGTAGTCTCAACATTTAGAAATTATTCCGTGACTGATTATGTCTGCAACTAAGTTTTCTGAAGCATTTCATTGTTTAACAGCACAGCATATAAGAATACTACTGCCAAGCATAATATATGTATATATATGATAATTTTAGATACAAGGTTCAAGCTTACATAAAGAAAGATCTTGCCAAAACTTGCTTCCTTGTCTTCAATTGTATCCCTGGTGTGCAATTCATGTTGTTTCAGCTCTGGAAAAACATCACCCATCACTTTCACCACAATGTTTACAAGCCTGCTTATAGAAATCAAAATGATGTATGGGTATTAGGAATAACGGATGTAAACTTAAATATCCAAATTGCCCCTAGATAATTTTTTATGCAAGAAAAAGAACACAATTAAAATTACAACACAAAACTATAACAGATACATATAACAGATACATATACAGTGAACAATCACAAGAAGCAGGCAAATTTGTCATTCCTACCCACTGAAAATTTTGATTTTAGTCCCATAACGAACAGCATGGAGAAGAATACACCTCAGAAAATATTCACGCCCCTCATTGCCTACACAGCAAGTACGATGATCAATATTACTAAGCAGGACGACAAAAACGCCTTAAAAAATTATCTCACAATGCCGAGTGACAGCATTGTAGAGAAGTGAAGACAAACCAAGGAGCTAAAATGAGTATATACTTTATATATCAGTATAGGTTGTTGGTACTGAAAGGGAGGAGGGATGGACTGGGCACAAAAGTTACGATATTAATTTCTCAAAGTAATTATACTCAGAACTCAAAAACTCGCATCCTCAAGATTTGCAAAGAAGATACATTTATATACACACACACATATACATATTGGCAAAGCTATAAATTGTCCACATAGAGCACTAACACAAACACCTGGACAAGTTTCTGGCACTCCACCTGGACAAGAACCACCAGCAATAGCAAATGAAAGAGTTATGCGGTCAGCAACAACCCTGTACGCCATGCCAAAATTTTCAACATCACATTCTCCAACTTTACCCGAATATGGTTGAGCTCCGGTTGCCTACCAAAGAAATGAAAAAATATATAAATGTAGAGGGGCATAGAAGTTCATTTAGAAAATTGAAGAGCAATTGGACACATAATTTACTATTTTTCCAACAAAGAGGTGCTTCCAGAACAGAGAAATCTAATGGAAAATGTGATGATTCCAGACAGAACCAAGGTAAGGACCAGTTAAATTTTTTAAGACCGATTCCTTTCTACTGTGTCCATAAAATAAACCTCCATCTGCACTACCTTGATCATCAAACAAGAGTGTGCAAGTGTGAAGCCATCCCTTGGATACAGAAGGGACCAAACTTTGGTTTATTTTTGCTAGAGAGTATGTTCCTGATACAGACAAAAGGGCCAATACTCCCCTTTTATAAGACTCACCCAAGAAAAAAAAATATAAAACAATATTTAGAATTTGGTAACTGAATAAATTCAAAATGAAAATTATCCAATAATAGCTTCTTAATGAATAAGCATTTCTGCACCCTCAAAAGCACACACAATTCAGTACGGCCATACCCCTACGTGCAACATGAAGGTGCAACCCGCCAAACTGGATAAACAAAAATACTAACAGAACCGTCAGCCCAACACTTAATGAGACTCGAAACTTGACGCATAACTCAAGCCACTCAAAACAAAAAAGAAAAACATAAACACACTTGCACCATCAGACAACGAAGAAGGTGATTGGTGATCTCTCTGTAAGCTTTAGATGGCAATTAGTTTTACACTTCCCTCCCCAAATTATCGAGTCAGAATCACCTCCAAGGCAGCAGCACATGCATATGCGCACGCAGACACACACAAAAAGGCAATTATACATTCCTACTACCTTCAGAAAAACCAGGCCTGTGTCATGCAAATAAGAACCGGTAGAACAACCAAACTCCAAAAGGGCCACTGTCGTCTGAAAGCAACTCTTCATTCTAATATTACTCATTAAAAGATATTCATCGCATCATGATCTCACCTGATGGATAGCATCAAAGATGGGTAAGAACACATCATCATTATCATAACTCATCTTGTATCACCAGTTGCTCCACGATCTTTTGTTTAGGTGGTGTGAATGCAACGTCTAGGTTGCAATATGGGCCATGGTTGAAGACGACTGGTGTTCTTGGTAAGTTATGGAGGCCGAATCGTCAAGAAGTCTAGAACACACTCACGGATGCCGGGTCCGATCATGTCCGTACATTGACTACGCTATTTACCCTTTGACTATTGATTTCTAATTTCAAATAAAAGGGAGAGGCCCGGTCTTTACGTCCTATGCATCTTATCTTGTCCCGGAGCACAAGCCATGTATGAATGATTTTGCCCCTTCCCGATTGACTTTTTTGAGACTGGCAGGGAGAAATTTACTGAGATTGGGATATATGGTTAGCGCAAGGCTAGTGGCCAGGGAATCAAGCTTCTATGGGTAATAGGATATGTTGACTAGGAGCTCAGATAAAGTCGCTCAAGTAGTTGTGCCTGTGGTCGACTCTGTTATGAGTTCATTTCTATTCTATGAATGGATGGCAACACCCTAGATGCACTGATTCACGTATCTCTGCTGCACTTTACATGTCTGACAGTATAGGAAGGAAACCCACGAGCGGCTACAAAGCTGTAAGCCCGAAAGAGCTGTACGCTCTAAAGCTGTTTTGCGCTCGAAAGGAAAGGGAAAAAGATTCTAGCTTTCCATGTCAGATTCTTTAGTTGGAGCCTAGCCCGCCCGCCCGCCTACTTAAGATTCCACAATTTAGGTAAGGTTCAACTTGTCGACGGGAATAATGTAAAAGCCCCTTAGGGGAAGGGGCAAAACAAAGAATGCATTCAGATGATATCGACCATTTGGATAAATTCACAACTCTCAAGGTATATTCAAACAATTAGGTTGCTATTCAACGGATACATGTAAGAAATTTCCATATCAGTAAATCCAAAACAATTCAGCACTGAATCATGAAAGAAAGGAGACAATCTAGGTATACCACAACTGTGCATTCTTTGTTTTAAAATGAAAGAAAAAGGCAAATTATTATCCCACGTGTATAAAATGAAAGCATACAAGAATCATGTATAGGTATTTCTTTTATCAAAGACACCAATATAAATTATAAGTTGTAAGTTGTAACCTGGGTACACTTAAAAAACTAACATATGAAATCAATCTTAACATAATATGTTAAACATGAGTTGCATAAATTGACACAATGTTGTCTTGCATCCACTGATACAGATTACAATGATATTTGGGGACCTTTTGCCAGGCTTGAGCATCAAACGAAAAGAGTTGGGAAATCTTAAAGTTCTCCTAAAAGCGTCTCTTCACAAATCAAAAGATGCAACTCAAGCAACAATATGAAACCAACCTTCTTGTTTTTGGGTCAGAATCATTAATTAGATATGAATATCAGCATAACCGCAAGAATGTGTCCATGCATTTAGGCTTGGCTTTATAGGGTTTGCCCGGTTTTCATTATGTTCAATTTGTTGACTTGATCACTCCGAGTGTCCTCAGACACTTCAAGGATTCCTATCTTTTAGGCCTTTTATTGTTGTTTTGCCTTGATAAAGTATTTGCTTCTAATATATATATATAATTCTAAGCATGTGTGAATATTTAATGTACACAAGCAGAACAGACGTTTGCCTGAATATCAATAGTGCCATAGACAGCAAATAAGAGTGAATATGAAAGAGTTCAAAACATTTCATTAATTCAGTCAGTTTTGCGCGGCTATCAATGATGAAACAAAGAGTTCAATAATACAAAATTAAATAAAATTACCTAATGCCATTGCAACTGCATAAGGGTCTTTGGTTGCTAACTCAGATATAATATTCAGAGCATGCTTCACCGCAACTGGATTAGCAAATGAAACCCTAACCATATGTAAATGAACTTAAAAGCGACGAACTGTGGATTGCAGAGAGAGAGAGAGGATTAAAAAGATCTATAATTCTAGATATACCACAACTGTGCAATAAGCTACAAGATTTAGAGCAATGCAAGCAGCTATGAACAAAAAGATCAATGCAGTACTAATGATAAAAATGGTAATATTACAATTTATCCACCTGAATTTAGAGAATTTCTCATATTAGTCTGTGTTAGAACAAACACCATGAATCCAAAATCGCATTCAAGAAATTGACAGAAAACTAAACAAGTGCCACACACAAAGCACAAGGATTTACATGGTTCGGCATAAAGCCAACATCCACAACGACGATCTGGCAAAAAGTTTAACTATGCGAAAAATAGGATATTAAAAGTTTCAGCACTCCAAACCTTAGCTCTCTTTATAAGTCTTTTTCCTGCGGTTATCAGTGTTATCTCTCATACCACACCCCAAAACATAATCACTTATATACTGGACTACAAGAAAGTCCAAATTTGGGCCATAGCTTCATAATCTGTGTAACGACCCAAACCCGAGGGTCCGAATCGCTAACCGGGTCCTTATCCGAACCCGAGGTCAACTAAGGACACTACAGTCCTTTCCTACGTCAATGTATATAATATACATGTCGTCACAGGGTTTTAAAAAAAATAGCAATAGCAATAGCAATAATAATAAAATGAGATCATAGTTACGAAATATGTTAAAACAGTCCACTGACCCATCGAACCCTGTGGAGGAGTGTCGTCCGCCACTTCCCCTCCGTGTCCTGAAAAATGTTAATAATAAAGGGGTGAGCATAAGCTCAGTAGGAAGTGTCTAAGACACACTTCTTATGACCTTGTGAATACACATATAGAATAGAAAATAAGAGAACGGGATCATACTATACAGGAAATGTATACCATAACCACAACATCTAATATAAACACATATACCATCCAAGTCACAATCACGCCATGTATGCCAATAAAGTGCAATGCCATGCTCATGGCACTCCCCATTTTTCGAAACATTTCCGTTTCAACATCCAAACCGTTAGTGTTATCCGACCCATAGCACCTTTAGGGCGTCACGAGGAGAGGGTTGACTAACTATCCACGACCATAAGGCACTTCCAAGGCGTCGCATCCGGCCTAGTTAGCTCAACTATACTCCCCTCTAGACTACACTAACACCACGGACCACTAGGCGCCTCCTAAGCGTCCGGTTTTCACAAACACTTTTCAAAACCTTTACCCAAAATCATTTCATTTGCTTTCAAAACATTTTTCCCATTTTCCTTTCCCAATGGATGCATAAATGCGTCATGCTTCAATTCGTTAATTCAACCATACAACTTTCACACGTACTTTGCAATTTGAATCTCTAAAATAGGTAATCATGCTTCCCTTTAACATACATACAACACATAAGCAACTTGCAAGAATTCAAGTTAATTAGGCATACAAAATACAAATTCCATTACACATAGACATGCTTCTCATAATATCATCAACACATATAGGCATAGATTTTTTAACATAACAATCATGTCATTCTCAAGGCAATCAATTTAAATAGAGCATGTTTTTCATACAATTTTGATTATTTCACATGTTTATATATTTCATCTACACAAATCAAGTTACTTCAAAATACAATCAACATTATTTAGCATGTTAGAACATAATTCAAGTAAAATTAACTCACTAAGGTGCAAGATTGTATGGATTAGAGACCCCTACCTCAAAAGTAGCCAAAATACATCCCCGGCCGGGAAAGTCAACGCCGGTCAACGCGGTCAATGCCGGTCAACAAAAGTCAATGCCAGTCAATGGCGGCGGAACGGAAAATTGTTTAGTGGGAATGTAGCCGTCGACGAGGTGATTCTACTGTTCCAAAGGGTGAGCTCCGGAATCCGACTCTAAGTGGCCCAAAACCCCATCCAAAGCCTTAGATCCACAAATTTAAAAAATTCATAAAATAATCATCACTCCTCTGAAAAATAAACCCTTTGACTATGTGATAGAGAACGATGAGAGGAACGTTTTCCGTCAAGGAACCTAGACTGGAAACCCGACCAATTAGCCGGAACATGGAAGAGAAAATCAAAGTTTCAAGAAAAAGA